TCATTGATAGCATAGGAAAATAGAAAAATTGCGAAAGAAAAGAAAAAGAAAAGTAACAATTTGAAGTAGAATAGAATAAAAAAAGTGAAATGAAATGAAATGATAAATTGCTGATAATATATCATTGGTTGTATTGTTCCATTAAAACCCTCAATGATAATAATATTAAAACGGATGCATGTTGTTTGAAAATCGATAAATTTGCTTGTTTTGCTAAAATCTAAAAGCGATATGAAATTTCAATGGAACAATTTGTTGAAAATAATGAAAGTTTTAGAAGTAAACAAATTTTATTGGATTTATTAAATCATATGACAACGATGATTTATAACAGATAATATTTTACAAATTAATAAAATATAAATTAAAAAAAAAAACAGAGGGTAAAAAAATAAATAAATAAATAAATAAATAAGCAAAAATTTAAATTGAATAACAATAATTTAATAATGTTTTAATTAAATTTATAAAATTATATTAAATGTTTCTAAGAAAAAAAAAAGAAAAGAAAAAAAGGAAAAAGAAAAGCAAATGAAAATGACATGTTTGATTTTGTTTTCTTATTATGAAATGAAAGTATTGAAAAAAATTTTTTTTTCCTCAATACTTTCATTTTTTTTTTTCTCCTCAATATATTTTCCTTACTTTATATACTTCCTCAATATGCTTCCTCAATACAAAGCAATAAGCAGATAATATGACCAATGAATTGAATGACCAATTGATTGACCAATTGATTCTAATAATGAATGCAGCCAAGTTAGGAAAATTGACAATTAAGCAACCACTTTTTCCAAAGCATATAAAATGAATTGACATTTAATCATCAATTTATTTGTATTTATATGTTAGTAATTAATTTTATAAATAAACTTGAAATTTTGCCGAATCTTTTATTAGTCAAAATTGTATGATATTGAAATTTTGGATTTAAATTAAAAATAATTTGCATTACAATATTTCATTGATTTAAAAAAAAAGTCATACTCAAAATGGAAAAGCAATGAAATTTCACAAAACTTGAAATGTTGAATTTTAAAATTGTTAGTGAGAAAATTAAATATGCCATTAAGGTGAATAATAAAATAGCGTAGACTTTTATAATTAATTTTTAAAATTTTCAAACTTGTCCGATATAGAAATTACATCATATTTAAATTGCTTCTTTTAACTTTACCATTTTTAGAAACCATAAATAAGCTATGACTTTAATGAGAAAATAAAAAAAAAAAAGGCCATAAATTTTCTTATTACTTAAAAATAATTAATGTTATATTCCTAGAATTTACGAATAAAATAGTTTGAAATTTTTTTTAATTTTTACCATCCAAAACTATCATGACTTTAACTTTCATTCTTTTTTTTTTCAAAACTTAATTTTCAATAATTTACAAGTATGCTATAAGTTTTGGAAAAAATAGAAGTAAAACAAAATTGCTTTAATCTTCTTTACCAATTAAATGTATTATAAAGTAAATAAATTTTAGATTTCTTTATTAATTTAGATTGTTTCAAGTTGCAATATTCTGTTAAAAATTTATGACAAGCAAGAGGTCAAAAAAAATAAATAAATAAAGAAAGAAAGAAATTTTACTTTTATGAAAAAACTTTTGATCATTAGTCATGTAAAATATTCATGAAATTTTGTTAAATTAATAATGCTAATTTAAATTAAACTTATTCATTAGTTTTTTTCTTCTTTCTTTAATTAAATAACACGTAAATACATAAAAATCATAAAGTATCTATGCATACATTTACCTTTCTTAAATTAGTAGAAAATTAATAGAAGAAAAAGTATACAAATTTAATAATAAAGTTTGAAATTTAATTTATATTCATAAATTAACCAAATTTTTTTTTCCACACACTTTCACTGTTCATTCATGTTTATTCCAATAAAAAAGTTTGATAAAGTCTACCTATGCACACATTTACTTTTATTGAATTGGTAAAAAATTAATAAAAGAAATTAAATAAGTATTTATTTACTTTTGCTGTATAAAATAGATTCATTTTAAAGTCATATATATATATATATATATTATTCTAATAAAGAAAAATGAATATTAAAAGTATAAAAAACGAAAAAATTATTTCATTTTTCAATATAATTACAATTTTGCCATTTTATTTATTCATTTTTTTACTTAAATAATTATTATTTCGTCGAAAAATTATTCATTTCTTATTAATATTATCTAAAATTTGTAAATTATTAGATGGACTATTGCATTAAGTTTAAGTATTTATAGTAAACAGTTAAAAGGAAATATTTGACTGAAAATAAAATAAACAACGATTGAAATGATTTAATACAAAAAAGAAAGTATTTGCTGCAAAATATAATTTTAAAATTAATTCATTTAAAATATTTTTGAAAGGAAAGATTAAAATTTGTTGAATTAAATATTGTACAAATTGAATTGTTTTAAATAGATTGAATGGAAAGGAAAAAAAATTATGATAACAAAGCAATAAATTTTCAAAAAAAAAAAAAAATTAAATTTGTTTTTAGGAATGTATCAGCTGCTCGTGCACGTATAATTCATTTCATCTTTCGCAGTAATTGCTAATTATATTTCACAAATGTGTACTTACTTATTTGCTTGCTTACTTACTTACTTACTTACTTATTTACTTTCTTACTCATTTTTTGTTTAAATGGTTACAATGAAATGAACGAATTTATTTCAAATTATATTGAATTTTTTTTGTTATAAAATGGAACATAAACAATTGTAACGGAGTTAATTCAATCAAAAATATTTAACAATTTCATTCTTTTTGTTTTTTCTTTTTAAATCAATTTTGATTTATTTCCATAATCAAAATTGATTTTTGCAAAATATATTCTATAAAACTATTTATTATTATTAGAAAAAAAAATGTATACATAATACCAGTTGCAAAATATATTTTCGAAGTACATACAAAACCGCGAAGATTTTTATTGAAAAAAATTTGACCCGATTTTTGACCTTTATTTATCTATTTGACCCGGTTTTTTAACCTTTACTTTATCTATATAGTAGACATTAAAGTTACACATTGTAAGTATGAAATCAATCTTTTCATTGTCATAAAATATATGGTTGAAATTAAATTTTGAAATGGGATTTCATACTTCATATTTTATCATAATTATATCAGTAAGGTAAATAATATGGATAACAGTTGGACTGATTAAGAAAAAAAAAGACTAAATGAAGGTCAATCTACTATTCAAATATCAAATCCAATCAATCATTATCATTTATCAATGATTTTTAAAATAATCTTTCAATTCTGTTCCAATTCTACTACCCGATACTTTCTTGCATAAAATTCAGTGTAGATAATTCTTTTGAGGTATAGAAAATATTTTCAATAAGGTATTGAAATATAAAGTAATACTTAACAACTTGCTATCATAACTTAAACTAATTTAACAAATTGTTAAAATTATAATTATTTCATAATTTGCAACATGAAATTTGACAGTTTGTCATTTGATAATTTGATAAATACCTGAATTTCTTTGGATTACTTTTCCGATAAAAATATTTGAAATATTATTTACAATCCTGTTCCATTAATTATTTTCAAATATGATACCAGTAATAGATATTGTGTTATTTGTATTTAATGTAATGACAATTGCGCTCATACCAAATTTTCTTTTTTTTTTTTGCCCAGATTAATGAAATTGCTTAAAATACAGTACATCTCTTAATAATAAAATAACTGCTAATCTTTTGAATGAAATTCATGATATTGGAAATTATTCAATTCAACTTATCATTTTTTGTTATTTATATATGAAAGTATGAATGTTAATTTAAATAAAAATGCTTTTGTAATTGATAGTAATTAATATTTTGTATGATTTTAATTTTAATTCATTTAAGTATTCCTATCATAACATATTTTGTTTTGGAAATTTTGTTAATTCCTTAATATTGGATATATGCAGTGATTTTCAATGAAATAAAATATATTTTCTTGAATGAAATTGTATTTACAAAAATTAATTGGAAATTTTAAAGTATTATTGTTAATGGTAATGTTTAAGATAAGCCTTCTAAACAAATATATGGAATTTTAGGTGATTTAAATTATTTAAATTAAAGTGGTAAAATTGACTAAGCGTTAATTAGTTGATTTCATTCCTTAATATATATTCATATTTGACAAAAAAAAAAAAAATATTTTTGCAAAAAAAATGAATTCCTAATGGTTTCATTTGATTTTTAGCAAAGATTGAAGACAAGTTATAGCTGTCTTTTTTTAGTTTCACTTAAATTATGTAATTCCTTAACATACAAAATAATTTTCCTTCAATAGATGATTGAAATAAATGTTGCTGTAATTGATAAAGTATGATAGCATTGTTAATGAACAGTTGCATAAATGAGGTTTTAGCTTTGTTTTATTTCAACTATTTCAGTAAACAAATAAAAAGTATCATCCTTTCAGATGATATACTTCCACACTGATAGTTTATCATATTTTGTTCCACTAATCAAGATTTCAATCATGAAATTAATATTCATGTTAGCATTAACAGTATCGTATAGATAGTACTGATGCTAATAGTGTTTTGAGATATAATGATGAATACGAAAATAGTTTTGCTACATTTTCAATTTGAAATCTTGTTTCCTTTTTTTTTTTTTTCGGTAAACTGACCTTTACATTAGGTAGGAAATGAAACTTCTCGAATTCTTTACTTGAAAATAATTATCATGTCAAGTTATTCCGACTTTCAATTAAACCACTATCACGAGCTCATACCGGTAGTTTTACAATATTCTTTAAAATCAAAGACCCCAATGTCTTCGTCTTTAAGCTACCATTTAGAAAAATTTCGTAGTGTGACCTTATTAGCCTTATAATGTTGATATATGTAACCAACAAGGTTCTGATGAAATTTTTTTTGTTTTTTTTTCTCAATTCACTGTATTCGAATATAAATAAAGTCCTTCTGAATTCTTCTGAAGAACTTAAATTTTAAGACTAATAACGAGTAGTCAGATGGTACGCACAAACAAACTTCAAGTTGGTAAATCCTAGTTTCGTTAAGCAGTATGTTGTAGTGATTGGGTTATATCAAAAAGTACTGAGAACAAGACGTGCTTCCTATATTTCTTCAACAATTAGATAAGCAATAATTAGGATTATTTGTTTCGACAGTGACCAGAAAATACAATTTTTTGAGCATCAAGAATTGAGAATTATTTCACAGCAAAGAAAAGACGAGAAAGCGATAAATAAAGAGTGAAGACCAAATATATCAAAATAAACAGGATGCATTATAAGACATATACAATGATCGACGAAATACTCTTTTATTTTTCACATTAGCTTTCCAAAACATGCTACAACAAATAATATTATGAATTTAAAAGAAAAATGATAAAAGATGAACTTTCAATTGATGTATGATGGTAATTAAATGTGCAATTTAGTACTTATTTTTTCCGACAGTCTTACAACCACTATCATTGAAATGTGGCGACATATCTTACTGATATCAGGTGTTAAATGATTCTCCATTCTCTTGCTAGTTCTAAAAAGTTGATAATTTATGATCTTATGTACCGCTCCCAACAAAGCAACTTTAAAACTTCAAGATACTCTTCGCCATCTTTCCACCCACCATTTTCAATACAATAAGAACTGATGCTTACACTTTGAGACTGAACGATATATATTACAGCAAAATAACTAATAACACAATCGCTGTTCTTCAATAGAAACAAATCGTATGCAAAATGTTTCGTTGGCTATTATTCTGTTCAAATTCTGTTAACACTTCATCAATTTCATTATCTAAATCTTCGCAAGCTTCCAACTGAAATGTCGAACAGAATGAGAGATGTATGAAATTAATATGTCTGGAAAACACTTACTTGTAAAAGATGTCGAAAAAAATGCAGACTTCAATATCTATTTATTTCATATGAGTCAGGAGAGGAAAAAACTCTGGTTCCTTAATTATTAAAATTTTAGCCATTCAATGCTAACTTCAGCTAAAATTCGTGTCAAACACGATATTAATGATCCTCAAAACCTTTAGTTCCAACTTTCTTGCACACAACCTACTATAGTATTTCTTTCGAGACATAGAAAACGGTAGCATATTGAAATATGAAGCGAGCTTGGTAACTTACTACTGTTCATAATAATACTTAGAACTATTATGGAAAAGTAACGCAATGTAATTTTCTAAAAACAAACCTTTGCACATAAATCGCAAACAAATAAAGCTCCTATAGTAGCTTCTTCGTGGTTATCCTGTATATCAATATTGATGACATGTACGCTATCCCCTTCATTCGTATCACGCGTCTGTAAATCTTCCACTATCTAAAAGTAAATGATTACAAAACAGTTGACTCAATTTCATAAACAAAAACATAAATTCCGATTCAACAGACTAACAAAATTATAGCTGTTTCGTGGTCTGCAACATAAAATTGGATTTGGCAATGTGTAGATATCTGAATGTTTTGTGAATTATTTAATATATGAATCACTCCCCTTTTGGGAGAAATTCATGATTCATGATTATATTACATATGATGGAGATATTGCTATCTGTATGCAACGTAATGACAACTGCGCTCATACTTCTCCTGCCAAGATTACAAAACTGCTCGTAACACATTGAACTTCTGGTGGTGAAGCAATTGCATGAATTGGGCCATATGCCGACCTTTCGGAAGAAATTCATGATGTCAGAAACCGTCTAGCACAAATTCATCGACTGTCGATGATTCGAACTACCTTGTTTAGACTTCGCTATCCGAGGTATCTCTTCCTTCTCAACTTTCACCAGCAGATTCCTTAATACGTTTACCTAACTCTATATACATAAAAGTTATTCAATTTCCTAGACTAGTTCAGACTTAACTTCGAACGAAGCTCTATATCTAAAACTATATCTTCATCCATTACAAGTCACTAATATCGATATGAAAACGAATCCCACCTGATCATATACTCTTTCTTCTAGGCATATTATTACATCAAATTTTCCGTTGAAATGCTGAAATTTCTGTGGCATATCTTTTATCCTGCGATTGCGATCCAACATATTTAATAAACCATTCTGTGTATATCTGGAAATATTTTTTATTAAAATAGAAACACTTTATTAAAATTAAATACGATTAAAAAGATAAATTCCTGCACGTGTTTTGAATGACATATAACGGAAAAAAATTTTTGAACATATAGCAAAGCAGTGCAAAATTAAGAGAACAAAACAACACTTACAGCTGAGGATCCTTTTGTTTCAAGTCATTATATATGAAGTCATATGTGGCCACTCCAAAATCATAGCAATTTGGCCGATCTGGTGTGGGTCCTGGTAATTTGACTTGACTCCCTGAACCAAACGATTCTACATTGAAGCCTCTCTTTCTGAAATAAAAGACCTTGCTGTCATCAGGAAAGTTTTTATAAAGATACCAAAGTCTTCATGAGTGAATCATTCTTTCCTCCAATGAGTCATCGTGATGGTCATAAAAATATAACCTGTAAAATACTTTATTTCCATATTCTCTATTGCTCTGAATTTGCTGTTATTAATTCTATTAAAGTTTTCCTAACGTTTCTGAGCTACATAAACAACATTTTTTTCGTTATCCTTATTATAATAAAAACCAAAGAAGACTTAAAAATCGATGTGTTAATAATTCAAATTTGTTTAGCATTTTGATTTCAAGAGATTCAGAACTTTATGACTATTTCAAAATTCGTTAAAAAAGCAGCATGAACAAAAAGCACAATACTTCTTTATAAGCTCTAAAAAAAATTCTATTTGAAAAATCAACAAAAAATTATCCGTATAGGATAATAACCAGTTTCGTAGTATGATACTGGAGTGAGCTTTTAACATTGAAAATTTGTAATAATGTTATTTCGAATAAAACAAATGAAAAATGATAATTAAAAAATTAACTCGGACAGTTAGCAAACTGAGTTAGGCACTACCTCTCTCTTGAAAACCTGCCAAAAAAAGAAAAACTAGCCAAACTAACACAAGAAGCAATAAGTTGAGTGAGATATTATCTACCTTTTAACTCGTCCAACCTCTCGTGATACACCTGAACTGTCTCAGCCAAAGCATCAGTGATGGTATCTTGAAGTGAAAGAGTAACATACTATAGAACAATTCTATCTCGAATGCAATGGCAGTCAAAAAGTTAATTAAAACTTACTGCAGGAAACTGTGAGCCTCCATACTCCTATTCATGTTGCTCGAGCAACTTACAGCAAAACGTAATTTTCCCATATTCGTCATTAACTCCCTTCACGCGACCTTGCGATGTGCCAATACAATGACGTAAATGACCTTGGTGGCACTAAATCTATGAAGTGCAACAGAACTGTTGGAATTAAAATCATTCATTTCCTCGCAGCAAAACATTACAATCTAATCCATTTTTCTAGTCCACTAAATATAATATGATGGCCGAATCTCCCTTAACACATAATTCATCCTTAATCAGTCCAGGCTTGATCTGACAAAATCAATTGGTATTTTATACGAAATCTAATGTCATTAAAACGAAAATTCTAGAAAGATAGATCATTTTAGGCCATTGTTTGGCTATTTCAAAGGTCGGCAGAATCGTACTGTCCTATAGCAAAGTAAGAAATAATATGCCAAAGCATAGAGATCAAATATTATTCAAATATGAATAACAGTTAAGTCTGAAAATCGGAATATCAAAACGTTGCAGTAATTTGAAGACATCTGAATGTACAGAAATAGTAGAATAATATGATATTTAAAGCAAAGATTACGGATAGAAAATAAGAGAATGTAATAAATAAGTCAAAAAAATAAGAACGCTGGCATAATACAATAATTTTAAAGCAAAAAAAGAAAAAAGGCAAAGAACTACATTGATGAATGGGAAAGATAAAAATACTTTAATCGTTCGAAAATAAATTAATTAATTAAAATTTGGAGGCGTGGAAAAAGCGTACCAATTTTTGGAAGAAGACAGGATGTGACATAATATACAAATTAACGCAAAGAAAAAAAGAAGAAAAAACAAAACACGACATAGTGATATTAACAGATGCAATGACTACGAAAAAAAAAGACTTAACGATTAGAGGAGAGCATAAAGATGTGCTGTAGAAATGATGAGATCCTTAAAAGTACAACTAATTAATCTTTAACCTGATTGAGCAAATTTACGTCTGACGAAAGTTACTAATTCCATTCCAAATCATCAAATATATCAAAAACAGTATCCACGTAATCGTTGTAAGAGAAGGTTGATTTGATGGAGCGCTTTGAATTTTTTTTTACAAGCTTTATCAAGAGTTTCCCTTAAGTTACATTAGTTTAGTTTCTTATTAGATGGTGATATTAATTTTGAGAAATATGATTAAGATTTTTATTTTTTTGAAATTTAAGAAAGTCTTTGAAGCACTACTACTCCTTACTCTCTTATTTTTCGAACTTTCTGAAGATCTAATTTCTAATTACCACTAATATCTGCAACAATTCCGCCGATCAACTTTTAAAATTTGGCTGAGTTTCTGAAAAAAAGAAAGTTTAAATTCTTTTTTAGAAAATTTAACGAAAATTTTGGTAAATTTTTTCAAAAAAATTTAGACTTCAAATTATTACAACTTCAAATTATTACGAATTTAAATATCGAAAACTGATTCAACATTATCATTATCATTAAGCTTTGCGAACGAAAATTTGCCAAAGGCTCTAGCCACTTGTGCTGCAAACGCCCCTACAAATGTGTGTGCATCTTTCGAGCGTGCGCAATAGATTTTTAAGATGAGATATAATGCGCGCGGAACTGGTCCTACCCTTTACTCCAAAGCCAAGGCTTAGCGGGCTATGATGGTGACAATAAAGTCCTCTTAGGACGTCGGCTCTATTAGAGTATCATTCAAGTTAGATGGATTTTAGGATCAAATTTTGGAATTTTGGGATTACCAGGACTAAACGAACTCCACTTGCCCAGGTTTCGAGTTAGAACTGTGCTTCTTCGAGGATGATTGCCGGGAAATTAGTAAACCCATCCTGCTCGAGGAATCGGTTTGAGAACTGTGTTGCATGGGAAACTTTACCACCAGCATAGCTCGGAACCTCATTAGGTATGGAAGCTAATTAGCTCATTATCCTCCTCGACACAAAGAGCTGTCTGTGGAGTAAACAACAGGTACGATGTTTTTAAACCTAGTACATTCAATTTCTATATCAATATAATTAAAAGCTAAATTTGAAATTCCGTCAATACCGGAATTTATTATTGACTCTTGCAATTTAATTAAAATCTTTACATTGGAAACTTAAAATATCTTAGCAAAATATGAAATTCAAGTATTTCAATCGATTATACTTGTAATTTAATTAAAATTTCCAAATTCAAAGTTTAAAATATGTTGGCATAGCATAAAATTCAAATATTTCAATTGATTGTATCCAAAAACTATTCACTTTATTATTTCACGTATTTGTCATCAGGTGTCGCCGATTTTCTTCAACCGTGACAAAAACAGGATTCTTTCCGCCTCTCTAGTTGCTAATACCTCAAACTTGGGTAATTAAACCTTTATTACGATAAATTTATTAATACAACAACGAACTTACAAAACGACATTGATACAACAAATTAATAACAAAAACACTAAGAACAAAAAAGACAAATCACGCCCGACACCTTATATCCAACCGACATCAATGAAACACATTTGTAAAAATGGATTAGTGCTCAGGACCCTCCGCTTCTTCGACTGGGAGGGCCATTGTACCGTTTTATGATTACAAGAATTAGCACCCTTATGGAGCACCCATTGGTGTTGGGTCCTTTGTTAGCGCAAACGTAAGACAATATGAGCATATAAAACAAAGATGTCTGGCTTTCAAAAACCGGGATTATTGTCCCTTTGTTTTTACTCGCATAATCAGCAACATCAGGAATAGCATTTAGATATCAGCGCGATATCAACGACATCAGGAATAGCATTTAGATATCAGCGCGATATCAACGACATCAGGAATAGCATTTAGATATCAGCGCGATATCAACGACATCAGGAATGTCATTTAGATAATATTTCGAAAAGTATTTTTAATAGTTTTATGCTAATCTACTATAGTTACTATTAATTATTAATACTTTATCAAAAATTTGATAGCAAATGATTTGCATAGCCAATAGTTAATTCATTTACATTAGCAAACGAGCAATAAATAACCGTTGCTTTATAGATAATTTCTTATTTTATAGTGATTTCTTTGAAATAACTGGTTGATTGATTATGTGTATGTAAATCTGGCGAAGTGATTAATCATTTTTCATGCTCAATTGTCAACGGCAAATATATTCTGGGTCACCAAAAGTACGAATGCCTAACATTATATATACTTATACGCTTTGCCCAGAAGGACGGGTAAGTTGAGGATATGCATGCATGCAAATTTCATATATTTATTGTAAAATAAAGATTGCAAAAATTAAATTTTATTAGGTTTAATTTCCAGTATATTTATATCGTTGGCGGAAATGTTCATATTCGTACAACGGCTAACATTGAAATAACTCAAAAATTAGCATTATGGATTTTTGATTGTGCTAAATTAAACGTATGTACATTTACTATTATTGTTTCATATCAAATAATCAGATGACAGAAAAAATTAAAAGTAAATTTTCAAATATTCATTTATTCTTCACTTATATAATGTTACGCTGATTGGAATTATTGAAGTTAATATGTGATCAAAAAAAAAATTGAATTTAATATTGTTAATTGCTTTGTTGTTTGGAAAAAATAAAAAAGAAGGAAAGAACGATTTAAATAATCGACGAAGAATAAGTTTTAAATTTTTATCAATTTGTTGAAAAAAAAATGAAAATTTTTTGTCCGTTGTTATCAGTTACATTTGACAATAACAGTTTTAGTGATAAATTTTAAAAAGTTATTTATCTTATCAATTGTATGCAATTGGAAACTATTTGCCAATTATATGCAATTAAAAGCAATAATTTTGCTAATAAATTTTAATGTATCATTTCAATTCATTTTTTCATTTTTATTTATCGATCAAATATCTTATAAATGATGAAAATAGGCTAGGAAAGCAAAACTGTTAAACATTTGGTTTAATATTTCATTTTTTATTTTTCGCTTTTTCTTTTTGTATTTTTATTTTTTGCTTTCAATATTTTCAATAAATGCTATTTAACATTAAATTGTATAATGGGGAAATAATAATGGAATATGCTGTTACTATAATAGTAGTATTACCTGAATAGCCTTTTTTTTTTTTCAAAATTAATAAATTCATCTTAGTAAATAAATGAGACGAAGAATGAATGTTTCAATTATATATTTATGATATATAGTATTTCAATTCTAATTAAACATTTGTTAGCTTTCATCTATTTCAATTCTAAGTAAACATTTGTATTTATTATATATAGTATTTCAATTCTAGGTGAACATTTGTGTTTATTATACATAGTATTTCAATTCTAAGTAAACATTTATTAGCTTTCATCTATTTTACTTGTTTATTTATTTGTTTATTCATTCTATTTTTTAATTTTAGATGTCAATATATAACTTACACTACGAGACATATCCAGGTAAAATTGTCGATTTTTATTCATTAAATGCCAAAAAATGCGTCCTTCTAATGTATAATGATGAAATGAAATTGCTAACACAATATCTATTATTAATGAATAAGGAAACAAACGATACGGTTGAAATTTTATGCCGAAATTGGAAAATTGATGCATCTGAAGCACTTCGTGTTGGTTAGATATTTATCTACAGTATTTATAATTGAATTAACATTTGGAAATTATTAAATCAAAAGAAAAAAAAATAATCAATAAAATAACTATAAGAAAAATATAATAAATTATTTCAAA